AAAATAAAAAGGAAATCAGCAATGCAGGATAATAAAATATGACTTGGTACAGTCTCTTTGGAAATTTGACATTTTTATAAAACTGAATTTTCACATAATGTATAACCTAAAAATTTTATCCCTTGGAAGTTTTATATCTGTACAAGATGCCAGTGTAATTTTTATAATGTGCTTATTTTTAATTTTTTTTGGTGACAGCCTTTAAAAATCTTTTTTAAATTTTTTAAAGAGAGTACAAATTAGAATTAAAACAGAAAAATTTACAAGTGATACAGAATTTTACTTAACAAAGTAGTAAGAACATCACAGTGTTTGTTGTAATGCGGAGTGCTATACAAGGTACACTATTCCATACTCTCACTTTACCCTTTATAGCTAGTCTCTGAAAAAGATCATGCTGTTTCCTCACCTGATTTACAGATGAGGAAACTAAAGCAGAAAAAATGTCTCTATAGTCATATTAATGGAGCCAGGAGAGAAATGGAAAATTAGATCCCAGATTCTACACTTTCAAATAATACATTTTACGCATTAAATAACAAAAATAAATGTTATTTGAAAAAATAAAAGGAACCAATAACTAACTGATCTACCTTTCATTTTCTTTGATGACACTTTCAAGTTGCAGTTTCATCTCACTCATCTGTTTCTGAAAGAATAAAGTATGATATAGAATTATATTTTCCAGATAATTAGATGCCATTAAGTAGTCCATTCATATGCAAGCATTAAGACTAACATTAGTCTATAGGTTAGAAACCAAACCTGACAACATCATCTTGGACTTGTAGCCTCCAAAAGTGTGATAAAATTAATTTCAGTGATTTATTTAAGCCTCACAAATATTCTGTTATGGCAGTGCCAGCAAACAAACACACTGGCATTTTATGACAAAACAGGGATTCTTTTTTCATTTTAAAGCCATTCTTTCTTGTGCTATGAATAACTACTAGGAAGACAACAATATGTAATGTATTAATTATTGCAACTGTCCTACTAACCTGTTTTGAAACTATCTCATTGCTATTTCTTTCTCAATAAAATTAATATAAAAATAAAGCCATTCTTATAAAAAAGTCTATAGGTTAGAAAGACTTATTCATTACTATCAATAAGCAATATTAAAAATAGTTTAATAATACATAGGACATTTTGAATAGATTGTAAAAATACTTTCATATTGGGAGGTATTTACAATATAATTCATATTATTTACAGCTATGAAAACAAAGTAAGACATTCCTCAGTATATTGCGACAACTACCACATGATCCCTGCACCTTGACAGTACCTCTTAATTACCTTGGTTGGGCGATGCCCATATAAATGCATGTATTTCTCCAGCTTTTCAATTGGTAAAACAGTAATAGTGAAAAAGAAAATAGAGGTCTTGTTTAGTAGTCATTCCTTTAGTCTCTGCTTCACCAGCCTTATTAACAGCCTAAACTCAACACTACATAAGGACATTATACTCAATATACATGGTCACTGATATACTTAGTAGGAAAGATGGCTTTTTTAAACCTACTAGTTAAAACACATTGAAGAGGGGCTGGTGAGATGGCTCAGTGGTCTAAAGCACCTACTTAGAACAAGCTTAGCAAAGCACAGGGACCGCGGTTC